TGTAAAGTTTTTTTGTTATTAATGAAAGAAAAGTTTGCAGTTTATTCCAAATCTGGAAGTAGGTCACTGGACTTTAGAGGGACAGGTAAACTCACCTGTACCGTCTCACTCCTCTGGCAGCGGGGGTCCACAGAGGATCCATCTTTTCTTCTCTTCTGAGATCAGCCACATCTTCTCTTCTCCACTCATTTGACACTTTACAGGCCTCGAGAAGCAACAATTGAATGTGAGGACAGTCATTTTGTGGCTCCAGAAAGCTGCTTAAAGTCTGATAAATTCACTTGAAGACTACAAGATTGATAATAAATGAAATCTAGAGGTGTACAGTTTTAAAAAGTGAGTTTTGCAGCATGTTTCTCATCCCTGCAGGCTCCATTAGCTTCTGCTAGCACAACACACCTGCAATGTCAACTTCCTGCAAGAGTTGCATTGTGGGTAATGCAGGCTCCAAGGAAGAAGAATGCATGTCATGAAGAAGATGTCCTATTAAAGCCTTTTTGATCATGATTCTCTTGTGTGTTAAAGGAATATTTAGTGGATTGAATGGAGGTACATTTTCTCCAACGTGTTTTTAGAATGTGAAATACTTTCCTGCTCTCACTCAGCTCACACACACTCCTGTTGGGCCTGAGAAGCTCATCTCCGTGACAAGCTTTTCTCCAAACATGGCGCTCTGTTCCCGTCCTGCAGGATTTCAGCAGCTGCCTGATCTGATTCTCTGAATTACCTCACGACTAAAAATGGCCCAATGACCCAGCGTTTGACACACAGTGGCGTGCACAAAGCATTAAGGTGTTTCACACCACAAAGCCTTTCTTTAGTTTAAACCAAATGTTGTGCATTGCCGTCTTGCGTCTTAAATCAGCATCTTACCACATTATATATTGTTTTATATTGATATGTATTCAAATATTTACTCTAAAGTCAGATGTATTAACTTTATTAGGATATATTTGGAATTATTCACACAACATGGTAGCTTACTTAAGACTTTTGTGATTTTTTTAATGTCCACATCCCAAAGCAAATCACCTAAAATGCAAGGATGTACGAACAATATGAAGCAAAAACAAATAAAATATAATATAAATAATGTTATTTATGTTTGCTGAATCATCCCTGACCTTTACTGTGTGCCCAGTCTCTTTTATAAACCAGTTTATTTTCTCCAGTCAGTCCAATTAGCCCACAGAGAGGAAGTGGAAAATATAGGCCATCAGGTGTGTGTGTGTGTGTGTGTGGTGTGTGTGTGTGTGTGTGTGTGTGTGTGTATGTGTGTGTGTGTGTGTGTGTGTGTGTGTGTGTGTGTGTGTGTGTTGCTCTGATCCAGGAGCTTCTAATCCGATATGCGGGGGCGGGGGCGGGGGGTGAGAGTGTAGGCAGCAGAGGATTATGGGATTATGTGGGAGGAGATGCAACATGAGATGGCCACTCTGCAGCTGCACGATGGCAAGTTCGAGGTCACCGGGTAAAATCCGATACAATGACTCCATGTGCACAGAAAAGATGCTCATTTAGTCATTACGTGGCCCTTAAAGAGGCCCTATTCTGCTTTCTGGTTTCTTTTCTTTCCTGTAGTCTGTTTTATGTAAATAGTCTGCAAAGGCTAAAATCCCTGTGTTACGGAACATAGTGACATCACTATGTAACACTCACGCTTCTATTGGCTAGCGCTCCAACACATTGTGATCTCTAAGGTGTTGACCAATCACAACAGAGCTGGCCAGATAACCAATCAGAGCAGACTGGGCTGCACTAATAAAAGTAAGTTATTTCAATTGGAAAATGTTGAATAATCCCCCCTCGATTGACACTTCTTCTTAGTTTTGTAGAACTCTGATTCAAAAGGGCGAATCAGAGACACAACGACTCGTCGGGATGAATGTTTGTTTGCAGGTGAGTGTGTTGAAGAGGCAGGAGCAGACAGGAAGAAAGGCACCCATCTTCAGAGCTGCAGGCGACAAACAGCTGACCTTCACAGAGCACCTGAGTGTCTGGATTGCCGCCATAACTCAGAGTAAAACGCCGCACCGTGACACCTCACAGCGGCCCTGACCCCGCAGAAAACACTCTCCTCTTTTGTGTTGTGCAGCTTTTATTGTCCGCCGCCGCAGTGAACAACCAAATGAGCCAGATGGGATTTGACAGATTGAGGATCTGTCCAGATTACTCTCTGTGATCGGCGGCCAGGCGCACGGAGGCCATGCCAGGAAGTAATCCAGAGGAGCGAGACGGGCGCCATGACACCTCCAGGTTTAAAGTCAATGCCAAGGCTGCACACAGGACCAGGAGGAGCATCATGGGAGAAGTGTTACCCTCCATTTGTGCACTTTCTTTTACCTTTTGCAAAGTGACACTTACCCTCTGTCATTGGGATTCTAATGTTTTATTTTCCAGAAAAAAAAATCTGAATATTAGAACATCTTTAATAAATGTGCAGTGCTCCCCACAGTGCAAATGAAGCATACAATAAATACAATTAAATAGCTTAAAAATATGTATATTTTAAGAAATAAAATAAAGCAAAAATAAAGCAAAATCAAATAAGATAAAATCAAATCAAACAAAGTAGAAGTAAATTAAAACATAATGAAATAAAATGAAATAAAACACAACAAAGTAATACACAGTAATATAAAATAATAAAAAATGTTTTTGTTCATACTTTTACTTCGATACTGAATATTTTTGATTGATTATTATTGAATAATATAGAAATAAACTCAGTCAAAGATTTTAGATGACGTTTTTGGGAGCTTTATGATTTATGAATGACACTGCTGCCCTCTTGTGGTGAACTATGAGAACTACAAGTTACATTTTTTCGACGTTTACCTGGTTCTACATCTAAAGAGAGACTTGCTGTGCTGTCCCAATAATCCCACTATTGTACAAGTTAGCATGCTAGAAAAATGTTACGTATAGTCCAATAAATAACATATAAAATGCTGATAATAATAGCAAGAGGGTCCAGGTATGAGCTACAGTGTTATAACGTCAGTAGTCTGTCCCTAATGTAATCATATTGCAACAGTAGCCTACGTATTTAGAAAGGGTGTGTGTGTGTGTGTGTGTGTGTGTGTGTGTGTGTGTGTGTGTGTGTGTGTGGTTGCCAGGTGATTACTCAGCATTCTGGTGCTGTTGACCGGTTGCCTCGGTCGTTTAAGGACGCGGTGTCCATGGAGACCAAAATAAATGCTAAACGAGACACAGCAGAGGAGAAGAGAGGACTGAGAAAATGTTTTCCTGCAGGCTGACTTTATTTTTAGCTTTAATGTTTCTTGTAGTAAAGGTGAAACACACTTATGTTCGGGCACTTATTATCTGCACATCGAAATATTTAGTTTACCTGAAAGGTGACGTCATGACCTTAAACATGACAATCAGCACAGTACATCCACTTTTGTTAAATAATAAAAACAAAAACAGTTTTACAATTAAACCAAATGTAACTAATACAAAATATTTTTTAAAGTATATCCAAGTAAAACTAAAAACATCCAATTTAAATAATAAAAAATAACAATATCATAATAAAAATAAGATAAAACATGACAACATCTAAAAATAAACAAGTTTAGTGTCTTATTTCAAATATGATAGATAATGCACTGAAATGACAAAAAATGAGGTCTCACTCTGAGGCATATTCAGCAGACCAAACAAACCTTCAGACTGACAGACGGAGGAAGAGAGATGACAGATGTGTTCAGGATCTTCGGTTGTTTCTGCTCACAGAGTTTCAGTGTCTGCAGAAACAAAGAGACAGCTTGTGTTTGTCCGCGTGAGGAGGGAATTTATCCGCGAGACAAAGACTCAGTTTATCATCTGATACACAAAACTGTTCTTCCTGAAACACACACAGAGGAGGAGAGGTCAAAGGTCGTGGGGATCAGGGAGGGAAATCAGCAGATTGTGTAGAATATTCATACTCACAGGATTTACTCACTCTGTCACAATTTAGCTTTATTCTGCAGCTATGATATCTTAAACATATTCTTTAAGATGTATGCAGTGATAGTCTTTGTAAGAATGCTGTAGAAATACGTCGGTTTTTCCTTAAATTGTTTACAGCATTTTGAGAGTATAAACTTGGCCACCTTAACGTCTCCTGCAGTTGTAGTGATTTTGTGTGTGTGTGTGTGTGTGTGTGTGTGTGTGTGTGTGTGTGTGTGTGTGTGTGTGTGTGTGTGTGTGTGTGTGTGTGTGTGTGTGTGTGTGTGTGTGTGTGTTTGACAGCGGAGGGCACACGTCTGGCCAACTCCACAGAGAAAGGAGCGTCTTCATTAACATGCACGGCCATCCGCTTCCTCTGAAACGGCCCTTTGTCCCGCAGCCCCTGAACACATCGCAGGCAGATCCTGATCAGAGGAAAACTCACACACACAGATGTAAATAATAATGATTAATTATGGGATGTTTGGATATACATTTGCTTTATTTTCGCCAAACTCAGAAGGAGTTTAAATATTTGTCAAATATATTATAATATCTAGTTATTTTTATTTACTTTTGTAATTTTTAGTATTTGTTTTTGCAATTTTTTTGTAATTTTTATTACATCTAGTTGTTTATTTGTGTGTCTTTTTTTTTTTTTGGAGGGTTATGACCTGTGAACTGTGGGACACTTCTGAACTCAATTAAATGGTATTGCAAAAATTACAAACAGACAAACTGAACTGAGAACATCCTCTCTTGGAGGAAATAATGATTTTTTTGGTCATCATTTTTGTTTATAATGCTTAGTTTAAGTCAGTTTTGCATTAGTTGGAAGATTTTTTATTTTTTTATTCCTTATAGGATTAAAATAAATTGTCAAAAAGTGAAAAACGTTATCTGAGTCATGCAAAATGTCAACTTATGAACATTAAGAGTCGGAGCACCAGGGCTGCAGTGGAGTGAGGGGAGGAACAGATACAGGATTGGTCAGCAGTGTGCATGACCTCAGCGCTACACAGTACACACACACACACACACCCTCCTGCAGTATAAAGGCTGCCGTGCATCATCATCCTCCACCCTCAGGACCCGATAACTTCTACCTGAACTCCCACTGAGGTAAGGTCAATATTTAGATGGAGAAAGTATGAAACTGATTTTTACAACAATATAAATCTGTTATTTAACTCTTTCTGCACACTTAGGTGGAACAAAGCAATACTTTCTGAGTAAACGTAGAATAATACCGATTTATTTGTGTACTTTTTGTAGTGAAAAGGGTAAAAGACTTGTGAGAATGACCGACCTGGAGACCTCGATGTCGACCATCATCGCTGTGTTTCAGAAGTACTCCGAGAGGGAGGGAGACAAACACAAGCTGAAGAAGAGCGAGCTGAAGGAGCTGCTGCACGACGAGCTGCCGGACCTCATGGCGGTGAGAGCAAAATCCTAAATATATAACTTCAGTTTGAACTGACTTGCTTGTAATTCAACATATTTGCAGTGTTATTTATGTAGTTTAGTGATTTTTTGGCAATATTTTGGGCAGTTAACTCCTAAAAACTATGTTTGAAAATGTGACTCCACTACAAGTGAAAGACTTGCATGCAATGTTAAGGAAAGAAGGAAGAAACTTAACTATTTTCTTTTTAATTCAAAGTTAAAGGATTAAGAAATAAGGAAAATAGGGAACTATGTACAACATTTTTTTATTTGTGTGCACTAACCTACTTTTCATTTCCATATAACACTACTTCAGATGTTTTTTTAAGAATAAAGTAGGTTAAAAAAATAGGACCTTAACCAGATAAAGTATTAATATGCATTTAAAGCTGAGATGTCCCGTCCATTAGCCTATCACGTTCAATGTGTTGGAGCGCTAGCCAATAGAGGTGCGAGTGTTACATAGTGATGTCACTGTGTTACAGAAATAAACAAAGGAGTCCAATGGAGGGGTGTCAGGCCTGTGGATCTAGGAGAGTTAAATACTGTGACTAAATAAAAAATGTTTCAGAATAAAGTGCTAGAAATAAACCTTGTAACTAAATCATAATGTGTCAGTATGTCCTGAGTTGACCTGAGTTGACCTGCCCCCCCCCCCCCCCCCCCGCAGCATGTGAAGGACCAGGCGGCTCTGGACAGCCTGATGGAGACTCTGGACGCTGACGGAGACTCCGAGTGTGACTTCCAGGAGTTCATGACCTTCATCTCCATGGTGACCGTCTGTTGCCACGACTACTTCGAGCACGAGCACGAGGACGAATAAAGAGCAAGGGGGGCTACAGTAAATTATACAATAGAAGAAGAATAAGCCTAGCAACAAGCAACCTGCAGGGCATTGTGGGAAAACTAGTCACTGCTGTGGTTTGGCTGCAAAACAGGTCTGACCCACAGATTAAAATCCACCTTCTGTTTTATTTTAGAGGATAAATGTCTAGCAAGTCTTTGTCCTATGAAATAATGTTCCCAAATAACCAAACTGTACACTCAATTACGTTCCTAGGGAAACTGATTTGCTCCTAGTTGTGAACACGTTCCATTACAGGACAAACTAAACTACCTGGTTACCACGGTTTGGATTCAATTGCCTCATTTTGAACTCTTGTTGACTATCAGATATTGAAAGTGATTTGTCCGTTTGTTGTTGGCTAAAAAATGTATTTCAGCAGCTTTTGATTTTCAGCTAATCTAGAAGCCTCTTTGCAATTCATAATTTAGGAGTTGACCAGAAAAATATGTTTTAAAATAAACGTAGTCTTCAAGTAAAATAAGTTTAGAATGGCTTTTTTATTGACGCTGGCTTACAGTTAGGTAGAAAGGTAATCATATATCATATAACAATAATGGAGTCATAATCTATTTCAAATGACTAGCTATTAATCCAAACATGTTCAGATTGAGTCGCCTGTAGCCAACGATGGGATGCAACCTGCTAGATTAACAAATAAGAATCTACTTTCACACTCTTCACATGCAAAGGAAACATTTGATAGGTAGAAACATGTCGAAACAGAGTTTGATGATGTGTATTTTGAAATGTTGAATACTGGTTAGATGTGAAATGAATAAATGATCAATGTGTGACTCCTGAGTTTGAAGGAAGTGAACTTCCATTGCACTGCACAGCTCTGACCTAATGTGATGACACTGTGTGAGCCCCCGCAGGTACACTGAAAACACAACAACTTCTTTGATTTTAATAACTTTATTAAACGTTTGATCTGTGAATAAATATCTGAACTGTCTGCGACACTCAGCAGCATAAATATACATGAAACAGAAACACGTTACATTCAGAATACTTCAGTCGCTGCAGGCCGGGACCACATCCAACACATATTGCTCAATTGATCGTACAATCATTAAATATGTATTGCTAATAGTCTCAAAATATTGCATTTTGTGCTTCTTTTACTCATTTTTAACCTTTAAATAACAATTCCAAGCCGATATTGACCGGGTGGACACTCATTGAGGTATCAATAACCCAAATAACAATTCTAATCAAACTGAATGAACTGATCCCTAAAATGCACTACATTTGGAGTGTAGATAATATATGTTGATTGCCTGGTTCAGTTTGTCCGCACAGAATCAACATCCAAACTTCAGACACGCTACAAAAACACAGAACAACGTCTGGAAACATCTGCACGACCTCTCACTACATCAGATTCTTCTGCACATCACAGAATAAACAAAAACAATCCTTCTGCGATATAAAGCTGCTTCTCTTTGTGTTTCTAATCCGGACCTTCCTGAGTATTCTGCAGGAACCGTGACACACGCCTCGTACTTCCTGTGATACATTACAGAGGCATTAAAGCCTCCACTTTCAATCAAATGTTCAGATGAATAGCAATGATAACATATTTAAACACCTCTGGATTACAAAGCAGTAACGAAAAGCAACAGCTGCACTCAACAAGGATATTATCTTTGACTTGGATGAACATCAAACTCTTTAAATCCACTTGACCATAACCTTAACATATACATATAGAAGGTTAATATTAGAGCTTTGTGGAGCCTGCTAGTTAAATTCACCGATTTAATTCAAGTCTCTTTTGGACTAAATTTGATCTTTAGTCTTTGTCATTAATTCAAATAAAGAAAATGTACATTTTATTTTAATTAAATTGTAAAATGTAATAAAGAAAAAGTCCATATTGTTCATTATGGCTGCATTCATAAAAATACACATATTGTGATTGTGTTGATCAGCATGTTAAACATATCTTCCACAAGTTCAGTTTGATATACTTAGTAAACTTCATGATCTCCAGTTACATTTATAATAATCTGTGTGTAGTCCGTTGTTGAGTGCAAGCGTTAACATATGAAACCTCTGGGATGTTTACAGTAATTCAAGCCGCTGTCAGCGCTGGCAGTGTCATTTATAATATGTAAAACTCTTTCCACAGACAGCCTGAACTTTGGCTGACAATATTTCCTTACAAAAAATAAATATCAAATCATACAGTGAAGAATAAAACGACAGTTGAAGACGGTGAAAAGAAAACGCTGTCCAGTGAAATATAACTCCTTGTGATCGAAGCAACAACTACTATACACCTGTACGTATTTACACTCATGTCAGGAATATACACACACTACATTTTATCTTAAACAGATAAATATCACACACACGTACACACACACACACTTGAGTGTTGGGGAGGATACATTCCACCATGATGATGAAGTGACGAAGGTTTAAACCAGGGTTCGAAATGCCCCATACTTCCAGTTTTTTTTAAGCTTTTCAGAATAAAAACCATAATTTATAAAGTAAATAACAAGAGTGCGGGGATTTACCAGCCGCAGCTGAATTTACCCAGCATTCAATGCGGCGGCTGGTTCTTAAAAAGCTACAAAGCTGAATACAGAAGGGGAAATACAACAATATATTCCTCACTTAAAGTAAATACAATATATTACAAAACCGACAACATCAAGTAGCATGAGGAGGAGCTTTTCTTCTGGAGGGGTGTCCTGTGTGCAAAGGGAACCTTAAGTCGTTTCTAAAGGGGTTTTACGGTTGTAATGTTAACTGTTTTCTACGAGTTATGGTTCTTGCTCTCTGACCTTCTGATGCAGATGAACACGTTTCCTCCCAGCCTCCCCCTTGCTCCCTCAGAGCAGCCCGTCCAGGTTGGTCTCGCTCTTCTCTTTGTCCTCGGCCACCTCCAGAGGGCTGTACTTGGCGTGGTAGTCTCGGAGGATGGTGACGACGTCGAGGTGTCCGAAGTGGACCGCCTCGTCCTGAGGGGTGTTCCCCCACCTGCAGAGGCAGCGGAGAGGTGTGTGAGAGGAGCGCCACGACATGTAACCGTTCATAAAAACACGCTATTTACCTGTCCTTGGGAACTGGGTTAACTTTACAACCCTCCAGCAGGAAGCGAACCACCTCTCCATGCCCTGAAACACACACACACGTTATCATCCCAGTAGTCAGAGTGACAGACCCTCCCCCTGACAGTGATCTCCTCCTGTGTTTTACCTTCAGCGGCGGCCACATGCAGCGCCGTCCTGGAGTCGTAGTCTCTCTGCTCCATGTCCATGGAGGACAGCGCAAACCTGGAGAAACGCCCGACACACATTAAACTCCAGAATCTTTCTATTAGTGCTCGTGTGGATTTTAAATGTGAACATTTGTGTCACCTTCTGAGAGCCGAGACGTCCCCGGTGTACGCAGCAAAGAGCAGATTGATCACTGACTTCACCTGAAACACAACGAGAAGCACGTCAAAGCAAAAAGAGCCACTTATAACTTTTACAGCCAGATATTTACCAAGTAATTCATATATAATACTATCATGACATGTAAGGATCAAACAACAACAACAACTGTATCAAGTCGAGAAAGATGACTCAAATCTGAGAAATGTGTCAGTTTCTGTATGCAGTATTTTCCACCAGGTGGCGCTGTTGATCAAATGCTACACACAAGGTCATGCAGCTTCAAGGGAGTGACGCAGACATTACATGTATTTACTGCAGCTGTTTTAGACTAATTATAATTATAATAATAATAGAAAAATCAGAGAAGGTCATCATGATAATATCACAGGGTCAGGATAATGCTGGGACTCACCCTCTGGTCTCCCCCCTCCCTGCGGGGGTCCAGCTTCTTAGCAAAGTGTCTCAGGTTATCGTAGTTGTGGAAGTTGAATAGGGAAACCAGGTCCTGAGAGAAGACATTTAGCAACATTATGATTAAACATAGAGTCTCAACCTCAGCTCTTTGACATCGTCTGACCTTCAGGAGGAAACTCAGCAGATCAACTCATGATTTTAGGACATGATTTCAGAGATAGTGTCCTTTTAATAGCCAGGAAACATGTTTATCACCACTATTGAATCTACAAAATGCTCAACAGTAAAATGATTTCGGGTTACCGTGCAGAACTGGATGCCTCTGACGCTGTTGCCCAGCTTGTCGAGCGGAGGAGACCAGCACATGATGCCCATCACGTTGGGAACAACCAGCAGAATCCCACCGGCCACTCCAGACTTAGCCGGCAGACCCACCTGAAACACAAGAAGAACAAGAAGAGTTAGAATGTGATAGTTAGAACATTCAAAGCATGTTATTGAGGAGGAGAGATACTGACGTGGAAGGCGAACTGTCCCGAGAAGTCGTACATGCCGCAGGAGTGCATCAGACTCAGAGTGTCCCGCACCGCCTCGGGGCTCAGCACACGCTCGCCTGTGATTGGACAGAAGCCGCCGTTGGCCAGAGTGGCCGCCATGACGCTGGCGCTCTCACAAGTCACCTCGATGGAACACAGCTAACAGGAGGAGCACGTGTCGACACAAAGATTAGAATATGCTGCAGTAAAAACAAATCGAAGCTTCTGTCAAAGTTCTCCGAGCTATGGGCTCCCGGGATTTTATTGTTTTCAGTTTACAGGTTTTAACAAATGTTTTATTTACTCCTTATTATGTTTCTCAACTCCATTTACCTGGAAGTAGAAGTCGAGGATGGATGTCATGTCTGTGCCTTCTGGAAAACACTGAAGGAACAAAAACACTGTCAACACACACTCCTGAAAAAAATGAATAACATAACATAATAATATAAGAAGTATAGATTCATATTTAGACAACAAATGTGAAATAGTGTTCATGGAATCATTTTAGCATTGCAAAAACAGCATTAGGAATGAACTTGCAATGATATGCACGACAATAACTGAAGTTTTAAAACTAAATGTACTCAAAATGGGCGCTACATGTGCAGTGTGTCGGGCGGGAGGTTTCTGTGGCCTCACTTTCTTCTCCTTCAGGTAGTAGCCGATGGCAAAGTTTCTGTCTCCAGACTCTCGCTCCGACTGGAATCTGGGACACACACAAAGGGAGAGGTTTGTTCTTCACACAGCGTGACTCAGCTTGTTATATAAAGCTCTCCTCGGTGATACAGCAGTGTCCTTGAGGATTTCTTTGTGAGAAATCAATACCACGTGCAGCAGAGTGAAGTATATCGTGAAGTATATGTCTGTAGTAATATGTAGTTGTACTCACGTGGCGTTGCTGAAGCCGACGTACTCGTTTCCTGCCAGTTTGTTCATGAAGTTCATCACCTGAGGAGCAACAGAGACAGTGAATACTCCACTATTGAACCTTCGTAAAGCACTTTTATTACATGCTACTTTTACATGTTACTTATTAGACGCTTTTATCCAAAGCGACTAACATATTCAATACTGTGGGCAATCCCCACAGGAGCAATTTGGGGTGACGTGTCTTGCCCAGGGACACAACGACATGCTGACTGCAGTGGGGTTTGAACCTGTGCTCCCTTGATCCCAACACCAACGCTCTAGCCCACTGCGCCACACGCCTATTTAACAATGATGACCAAAATGCACGTCTTTTAACCCAAAAACCTCAGTCATACTCACATAATCAAACTTCTCAGCGTTGCTTGCCCCTTGCTGAAACACAAACAGAATCAGGGTATTACATTTTTTTACTAAAATTGCATCTAAAAACACATCAAACTGCAACTAACAGTGACCCGAGTCATGACACTAGCACTAAACTACAACAGGACGCATCTCTGGTGTTTTTAAATCATCATCAATGAAACCATCGGGAGAATTAAGATTAGAGGAGACGAGATGAGATGGAGGTGAAACAAAAAAGTGAATCCACTCAACAAACTACAGTAGTGCTCAAGGTGTTATCAGCCAAGGGCTTTAAATTGTATAAAATACAAACTAAAATGATGAGACTGAATTATGGCCATTCATTAGTCAGAGTAAGTAAATACAAATATAAACAAAGACGCCTCCTCTACAGTCAAAATGGAGCATGATATTAAACCGCTGTTTGAACTCAAGCCACAGCTGTACTGTTTATAATGTGGACGTATAAACAGTGTTTGGTAATGCAGGTGAAAAGTAATAAAGCCACATTTAAACATTCATAAAACAGCCATGTGAAGGCTAAAAGCAAATCCAGACCAAAGAGGGGAAATACAAATAATTAAAAAGGGAAAAATTACCAACGTCATTGACCTGTTGCAGTGCTCATAATTTCCCAAAGATCCTACTGCTGTAAAATATGCAACAACACATAAAACCACACAACGAGCCTCGAAAAGGTACATTGCACATGAGTTTATCTGTAGATTCAGATAGGGGGGGGGGGGGGGGGGCATGCACACAAGCTTTTTAATTATCTGATAGCAACAATCAACCTGAGACTGCACACATATGACTGGATGATTATAGCAGCTTGTCAAAGGTTTTTATGATTTCCTTAAAACAACTTAAAGGATTACATTATTTTCCTTAACTCTGTGAATGTGAAGACTGTGAAGCTTGATTAAATACTGCTCTCCTGACGGTGTGTATATTATGATCTAATATTCCAACATCTCTATAGAGAGGCGAAGTCCCGCCCATCTACTTCCGACCCATGGGACCTTATTTCTGAAAAATAATGTATTGAAGTCAATGGGGAGAGAAAGATTATCTTTCGATCCCGTTTGAATTGTGCCATGAATTACACATGATGTTTGTCAATCTTAAAAAATCATTTCCATGTCAAAAAAGTCACAGTTTTGTCGTAAAACTGTTGAAATATAAGACTATGAAAAATACGCAACTAGAAAGACTACAAATCCCAGAATCCCGGTCCCGCATGCTGGCTCTTACGGAACCGACTAACTCCCCTTGTGTGTATGTACAGCTCTCAACATGCCCAGACTTGGAGTGATTTTCACCTCTTTTAATACTTTCCGCCTCATTCTGAAAGAAAGAAGTGAAATGTGCCAACGTGACGGCCGTCTTGGTGTGTGGTGCGAGACGGGAGATGTAGTTCATTGAGCGGTTTCACACAAAAAAAGTGTTACTTCACAGTTTTACGACATATTTTTATTTTTTTGACTTGCAAAATTATCTTTTAAATTGACAAACATCATATGTGTAATTCGTGGCACAATTCAAACGGGATCGAAAGATAATCTTTCTCTCCCCATTGACTTCAATACATACTTTTTCCGAAATAAAGGTCCCCCGGAAAGGGAGGGACTTCGCCTCTCTATATTAATGATAATTAAACTGCTCGTCAGTCTGTAGGGACAGCTTCACTGTCCTCAGGTCAGTGAGAGTTAACATTTAAAAGGTTTTAATTGAATCAGCAGGTGGTGCTAACAGCTCCCTGTGTGTGAGGAAGTTTAATGAAAACAGCAGAAGAGCAGTTTCATTTGAGAGTGTGTGTGTGTGTGTGTGTGTGTGTGTGTGTGTGTGTGTGTGTGTGTGTGTGTGTGTGTGTGTGTGTGTGTGTGTGTGTGTGTGTGTGTGTATGTGTGTGAGCGGTGCTGCTTTCAACCAAATCCCCTTTCAGCGTGATTATCTAGAACCTTAATCTCCCCCGTATACAGTAATCTGCCGGAAACACGTTCTCCACACGATTATCATTTCATTTCAGACTATTTCTTTTTGGATTTGAATGCAGTTAGAAACTCCTGACATAGAAATAAAACACCTCACAGTCTGTAATCTATGTTTTAGAAATATAACGGGATGATGGCATTAAAATCCACTACCGCAGCTGATCAGTGAGTTTCTAAAATAATAATTTGTAATGGTGGGGTGTGTGAAGGCAGCTTACCTTAATGAGGGAGGTACACACAATGGCTCCAGCATTAACCATGGGGTTGTGTGGTTTATCTGCAGGAGAGAAACGTAAGGTTTAATATAAGCAAAGACACAAATCTGATCATAAATGTTAAGATATTATTTGCCTTTTACTGATATGCACTAGGGGAGGACTTGGAAAATATCTGAATTAAGAATCAACACGTTAATTATAGATATAAAATAAAAATAAGATTGTGGTAGATAGCTGCACATAAAAACACACATTCACAGAATTTAAAACCCACAGCGTGCAGTGATGTTCTCCTGGGTTTTAATCTTCTTAAGCAACAGGCCGGGACAATGTTTTGTTTTTCCATCCAAAAATAAACAGCCGGAATATAATCTGCTGTTAGATCTCAACAAAGAGAGGAAACCAGAAACTTTTCTCACACAAGATTCCTTTCAGAAAGGAGTTATTTTTACTGAGCGTCAAGTCTGGAGTTATGTCTGCGGCACCGGATGAGGCAAAAATGAAAGCTTCAGAGGAGCATATAGACGCAGACAAATGACTGATAACATGATTTAATTGAAGACGCTGATGGAAATATATAAGATTTAGACATTTGAAGAGACTCAGAAAATAAAAATCATTATACAGATCCTGTTTACTTCAAAAATTATAATCAATTTCAACTGATATGAAAATATTAATAAATAATCCTTAACAGAATACATCGACTAAGCTCCTCAGTACGTTTCAGATATCTTTCAGCTATACTTTGCAGGACATCTCAAACACAAAGAGGTTTTTATTCTCTGTGGACTTTCAGCAGGACACACTGACCACTCTGTTTTATTCTGTGCTGTGCTGCTACCTTTAGTAAACAACTTACTGAAGTTACATAGCAACCAAGGATCCTCTTACCCTCTGAGTACGGAGAAAGTGAGTGTGTGTGTGTGTGTGTGTGTGTGTGTGTGTGTGTGTGTGTGTGTTGTGTGATCCTCACCTTCCTCGTTCAGGAAGAGCTTGTTGAAGCGCAGGCCGCTGGGCTCCTTGGCGATGAAGCGGTGCACGTACTCGGTGCCGTGGTCGTGCACGGCGATGGCGTACTTCAGCGGCTTCACGCAGGACTGCAGGCAGAAGGGGACCTTGGTGTCGCCCACTGTGTGCCTGAGGGACACACACAAGGACACATGTTCACACAAAAGATGTATACTCGTGCATTTAAGGTTTTGTGAAAAGGATTTATTCTCAAGTGGTACCTCTGTCCGTCCACGGTGCACAGGGAGACGGCCCACAGGTCGGGGCTGAAGCGGGCCAGCTGGGGGATGTAGTCGGCCACCTGCAGGGTTCACAGTCAGACATTTTAGGAGTTTGAGATACCGACAGCAATGTGTGTGTGTGTAAATGAGTGTGTGTGGCCCCCCCTCACCTGTCCTCCTGGCATGTTTTTGGCTTTATCGTAGAGTTCGTCTATGTGTGCGCAGAAGGACTGGAAGTCTGGGATGACAAACTTCTTCCTGAAGGCCTGAGTGAGCAGCACGATGTTGCTCTGCACGCACCTAAAGCACAGGACACAAGACACAGCTTAACAGGTGCTTATTCTTCTGAACATTTTACAATGTGTCTCACTTGTTGGTTTATTGTTAAGCCTTTGCTTAAGCTAATCATCAAACTGGATTTACACTCCGCAGTATCCAAGATCTTACTAGCTGAACAGATCTTCACACTACAGCTGACAGAATTTACAGATCGTGTCATTAGTGGAGTTGTGTTTTGGGGAGAGCTGTACAAAATGTTTGTTCCATTTCATTATGCATAAAATGTCTGTCTTCACATTTTATCAGCCTAAAGTTAGATTAAATGAGTTTGCTTTTGAAAAATATCCAAAATATGCACATATTTATACAATACAGCCCTTCCTCTACTAATCTTTCTCCCAAATGTTGTCCAGATTTGGTCCTGATCCTTTTTATCAGAGCTACTAAGCACCACAGACAGTAAACACATGACTCCTCCTGACAGGACGGTGTGTGTGAGTATGTGTGTGTGTGTGTGTGTGTGTGACTCTCTGGTAGCACAGAGATTTGTGGCTGAGCTATCTCACTGCATCACACTCCGTCTAATCCCTGTGGCATGGGATCCTGCAGAGAAAACAAACGCTCACGTGCTTCCTGTGAGGCCGCGCTCTATAAATAAGCCGGCAGCAGCAGAGTGATGGACCCCGGCCAGCAGCATCAGCGGCGCTCCGGTCTGTTAGCCAGGACTCAGCTCCCTGTGAACTCTCATATGCCCCGACTCTCACCCAAGCTGTCACCCAGCATCCGTTCCTCTGGGATCAGCCGCCATGCTCCCAGTATAGGAGTTATTTTATTCTACAACCAGCCTTGCTTTATTTCATTTTAAAATGTCCTTTGTTTACTGTACAAATCTGCTGCTACTTGTTTAAGTATAAAAACACGAACCTAGATGTGTAAACGTTGCGTATAATACCAACATAGAGAGAAGCCATGCTGCTGTTTTGTAATTATTTTACAGCACGTGCACAATATAATTGATTTGACCTTTAATGAAGGTTAGTAAAGGTCATTCTGAAAGCTGCCACAACTGTACAACGAATAAATTCTCTTCTATCAGCTCTGTCCTAAGATCATATCTTTAGCAGAAAGCTATTACCAGACGTTTAGAGGATTTGTGCCTTTTACAAATGAACAATCGTATCACAATTCTAAATCATGTCGCTTCCTACACAGCCTTGTTATCTGGAATGTTATGGCACATTTTGAAGATATTTCAATGCTTTATTAAAGCTAAATCAATAACATGTGCTAGGTTTCCCCCCCAGTAGTCGTGCTCTGAATGCAGCTGGATGAAAACCTCCTGAAGATGCTGATGACGTGCAAACGGAGGAGTGATGCATAATTAATGCCGTGACCCTGTTCTGCTGCAGGAGAGAGCAGGACTCCGACCAGCATCAACAGTCCTTGTGATAGACTGATGAAACATGGATGCTGATAATAAAAAGGTGGGACAGCGAGCAGAATGTAACCGAGAGAGACAGCAGCTTTAACTCACTTTAGATTTAGATTTGTGAGCCTAACATTGCACCAACACCTGTAATTTATCTATTTATTTACTGAAACATCATTCCTACTTGTCACCTCAAATAAAGCTACGAATTTTTATAATTTACAATTTGTAAAATGCTTTTATTAACCAGTGTGGCCGTTTTTCAATTCTTTAGGACTTACATTTGTAGGAAATACAAAGAAATTGTGTGCAAATAAACCAGGCTGCAGTTTCCAAGGCTTTATTGCAAGAGCATTGGATTTTAAAAATAGTTAGAAATCCTACTTTTTGAAGAGGTGTCGGTCGAGAGCTCCATCAGAGGTCGTCTTCACGGTCTGTTTGAGCATCTCCATGCACTCTTTCAGCCGGGGGTCTCCTGTGCGTAGCCCTGTGGCTTTAAGAGCCTGCAGAGAGAGGGAGGTGTGAGGGGGTGACATCATGATTAAGACCCCGGACACCAAATCAATAAATCTACAAGCCGTGAAGAGAGGCTCCTGAAGAGCTAACAAGAGGAGTTAACCTGCTCATAAATCAACCAGAGACAAGGAGGAATCACATGTATCTACGTGCTATAAATCCTCATGGTTCATCTGAGCTGATATTTAAACAGAAATCCCATGTGATCATTCCCGCTCTGAGGACTCACTGTGGTGAATTTGTGCGCTGGGATTTTCTCCTGGCCCTCTGCGATGGTGTAGAAGAGCAGGTCCTCCAGACTAGGCAGGATGCCCGCCTTCCTTCTCCTGCGGGACAGAAGAAAATACAAACAGAAAAGTGAAAAAACAACTCGGAGGGAATATGTGGTGGAAACATGGAGGGGGAACTGCAGCAGAGGGAGGAGAAGAAAAGCGTTTTGACTGCAAGGAGAAGCAGAGAGTAATACTGCACTGCAAAACATGACCTTACTTCAGTATTATAACCTGTGGAAAAGACGTGCACATGTGCTTTTCCATAGGTTAATATGCTGCCATAAGGCCACTGGAATGGAAACGGTTAATTGTGTATTTTGCTAGAATACCAGCCAGGAAAGTGTTCAAAAAGGGAGAGTGGGCAGCAGCACAGAAGGACAGATAACACCGTCTGAGAAGGACGCCGCCTTACAGACATCTTCATCTATGCTGTGTGTGTGTGTGAGGGTCGCAGTGTCAGTAATTCAGCCAAGAACAATAATAATAATGTGTGAATTATGGTGACGGGGTGATGGGAGCAGAAGGAGAAACGACCGCCAGCCTCACACTGCAACAGTGCAGACTCAAATAAAGCCCCAAGCTATGACATCACAAAGTCACAGCAAGGACTTCCAGTTCACACACTGGGGCTGGGTAATATAGTCTGAACAATTTTATACTAATGCTATCTTAGCTTAAGAAACATTTTGTATTTATATGGCAAACTTCTGAAGGCATCAATCAATGTGTGTTATCTCAGTTCTTTGTGCTGCTGCAGTCCTCTGATTTGCTGCTTTAATATCTTTTGTTCCCGATGGAGATCAATAAATGACATAATCTTAACAGTACATTTTTCATCTTGTAGTATTATGGTCTGGCTGGTATTCTGAGCAGCACTTCCACACCGAGTCGTCTATGGGAGAAAGTTAGTAGCATGTCAGGAGGCAGCAGGCTCACAGCAGGCTCTCTGCTGTGATTCATTTTCACTCCAGAACGGATTTGTGCAAAGCTCTGGATGCCCAAGCGCACCCTGACCTGCAATGCATTATGGGACACTGGCCTGTGTGCTAGGAGAGGATGTACCAAGGTAAAGGGATTCTGATAAAACAGCATTGGACAAACATTTGGTCATCATCAGTCAGCTGATTGCAGCTTGTTCTACGTTTTTGTCAACAACAAATCCCATAAAAAGACCAGAAACAAAACCAAACTAGTAAGCAGGATCAGTTAAATTAATACGTTTTAAAGCCACTTCAACAAAATCTGAAAGTCAAACAATTTCCTGGCCCTGCTGCTGCAGAATAATACAGATTAAAACCTGGAGCAAGATGCCCTGTTATTAACAATTCCACTCAGAAAGTCAGAAATTCCCAGTGTGAAAATTGTAATTGCAGCCAATGCATGCTCCAGATATACAAGGAGGAAACAAATATGGATGCAGAACATTTGTAATAATGTGTTTTTATTACATGTACAGCACTTTGGCTCGACCAAAAATCGCTTTTAAATGTGCTTTATAAATAAAACTTGATTTGATTTGATTTGAATTTATATTACTCTGCACCTGAATGTGTTTTTTTTGGTGTCATTAATTGTGGACGATTACAACTTTTTAAAGTTCTGAGAAGAGTAGGATATCTGAATTCCCGACTTGGATGTGGAACGCTGCATGTTTACTGAGTTATTCTCATGCACTTCGCATAAGCATGTTGTCGCGTCCCTAAAGACGCTGCCACTTTTTCATAGCTAGTTCCATCCTCCTTAATAAAGGCTGCTGGTGAGGAAGGAATACACACCAGAGAGTGTGTGCGTGTGCGTGTGCGTGTGTGTGTGTGTTTTACAGAAGGGACGGAGGTGAGGTAGAGGGGAGGGAATACAAGCGCAGCCGCTGGGAGGAAGTGAGGTCATTTCAAAGTGAACACAGTTATTCGGCTTTGCGCAGAAAACCTCTACATCTACTGGGAAACAGAAAAAAACAACAACTAAAAACTAAAATAAAAAATAGAAACATACTTACAAATGCAAAGCAAGCAGATCAACAACAGGGAGAGAGTGAACAGAGGGAATAATACTGAATTAGTTACAGTGGAAACCACATTAAAGCACAGTATGAACACATCAGCAGCAGACCATTACACTAGGTAAGTAATGGAGTTGTGAATATGGCATATCAAAATAACATTAATAGATCAATCAGAATAAGCACTTTGCATACTGGGGATGGCATGTTAAAGGGTAAGCTTAGTTGTTTTAAAGTAGGGTTGTATGTTGTACTTATATTTGTAATGTATTACTGCAGTAGATTTGTAGATATATGTGCATTGCTTAGCTTCTATCTGTTTCTTTAAATCCACTGCAGTAATACACAGATTAGGAAAAAGTACGTCCGACAAACACACTTCAAAACATCCAAACTATCTCGGTATAGTACATTTTAAACACACATGACATGAAACGGTATTGAAGTAACATTCTTGTTAAGTTAATGAGGCCTGTGAGGGAGTATCCCCCCCCCCCCCACAGGGGTCAGAGGTTGGAACATCTGGATCCTGCAGCATCGTCTCATTAATCCAGCCGCTCTCATTGGCGCCATGTGTTTTTAAAAGTCAGCTGTGGTACAACACACACAGCTCATACAGAAAGGTGGCATGAGATTGCTGCTGCTGCTGCTCTGAAATGCTACATTATCTCCACAACCGAGGAACTAGTCTGCATCAAATGTCATTAAATGTAGAGATGCAGGGGTGGGAATCAATATTTGTTAGTGTATGATTACCATGATATCCAGCAGACAGATCAATCGTTCTGATGTTATTTTGAGACGTTGGGAACGGTGCCTATTATCCAATGAAGTTAGGAGTTTTAATGTAGTTAAATAAATATCACCACCAGCCTACTTGACACGTCACACAGTCAGTCGTGTGTCTGTAGTTTGTGCTGAGTGTGTTTGACCCGAGTGCTCGCTCACAGATGTCATAATAAATTGCTGTGGAGGCAGACATTAAAGAGGGAGTTGTTGAGAGGCGGCGCTGCACAAATCCATCCGTGACTCATCTGCTCCTGCAGGCCCCGACAACTCCCGGGCAGCACGCCAGCATCCAGGCTTTGGTGCAAAAAAGCGCGGAAAAGCGACGTAGGCGGGATAATCTCCCCCTGCATTACAACATTTGTAACCCCTTATTAACCAGAGCACAGCCTCCGGAGGACCCTCGTAATCACAGACTGGAGTCAGAGCTGCAGGCCGTCTGGAAGACCTCAAACGCAACGCCTTGGATATTATATTTAAAGAGTTATTCTATATATAAGGACCTTGGATTATCTGAAGACTTCTTTTTTTAATTAGTTGATTAGTAGATTAGTACAGAGCCCCTGAGAGTTCCTACAAGAAAAAGAAAAACGTGCACGCACAAGTAATAATCTTTTGACTCAAGATAAAATATATTTGACATTACAGTAGTTTATTTGTTGTCCCTTGATCACCAACAAAAATCCACATGATCAGATCCCTTTAAAACTTCTTAAAGCTGATAAATAACCAAAGCGTTGGTCGGCAGCAGGCACATTGCTCCTCTGCTGACTCACTAAAGCCAAACGCTGCCTGTTGATGATTTCTCAAACACTAATCTGTGCTGTGGATGTTTAACAGCGTCACTGAAACTGCTATGATCCTCCAGGGGAAAAGAGATGTGGCCGACAACCTTACTGACAGCTTAAGCAAATGGTCCGTGAATGGAAACAAATGAGACATCCAGGCTGCAGGAGCAATGAGGCATTTTATCACCAGGGAAAATGTCTGAAGGGTAGATACAGGCTGGTGGCACAGCTGCTTTGAATGCTAAAAGCAGGAATAACTTCATTTTTAGAGCAACATGGGGGGAAAGTGACACATCTGAGAGACACAAACATCTCATAAAGAGAACTGGCACGACTCAGCTGTTAATAATAATATACAGTACCACTAACAAATATATATCATTTGTCACAGTTGTTTGAATGTGAGGATTTGCTGCTTTTCTTGTCTTGCCTACAGGCATTTAAAGTACTTGCATATTATTATGTGTCAACTGATAGTTCAAAGACTTGGACAGGATCAAATTATCACTATGTTGTTGCAGATTTTGTATTCCATTTTAATGCTTATTTTAGTCATATAGTATAAACTATTACGAAGTGGATCCTTGTCTTAATTGATGTCAGTGGCTGACTGTTGAGTGAAAGTGTTAGTGATGATATGGTGCTTTTCGGTCATTAAAAGCTTTTAACGTGCAGCCCCCGGTCTATCACCACGAGGACTCTCCTCTTCTCCATCTGCACTCACTCATTTCCCTGTTGAACCAACACCTCTGTCAGTCAATTACAGCCTTATCAGCTCGACTCACAACACTGCAAATAATCACTGATACTGACGCTGTGATACTCATCTACTTATAAAGGCAATAATGCCATCTAATTCATTCAGAATGGTCTGTTGGCAGAATATTAGCTGGTGCATATTACAGTAGCTACTTGATTATGCATTTATGTACAAGAAACCAGGAGACTGCATGTATTATAATATTGTGGAACACAGTAACAACTACAATTTTGAATGCAGGGCATGATATAATAGAAGCAGGATTATATGCTGTAATAGCAGTGGGATCAAAATAAGAACTGACTTTAGTGCCATGTGTGGGATATTATGGATTTAATTACATATGAGCAATACATCTATAATTACAAATAAATGGAGGTTGCCTTCCTGGTTTCAATGATGACTGACCTTCATCAGACATTGAGTTGGGCCTTGGTCTGTCTGCATGGTGCATACAGTTAAAATGATATATTTTTCATATTTGTTGTAGTTATGTTGTCATGATCATATGCATGAGAAGCTGGTGGCAGGTTAATGCCTCAGTGAGTTTAACACGCTGGAGATGAAAGCTGCAGCTTCTGGTCACGATTTCTGGATGGCTGCACACCACCTGCTTCCACTTGACATTTTTACTGTAGAAACGTTTACTCGTATGCCTTTCTCCTACACGCACACGATAACATTAACATATGGTTTTGAATAATATTTGAATGATACAATCTAGCAACTGTGTCCGATAATGGATCTTGCTTGCTGCTACATAGCCATCACGCCCCTGTACGCAGGGAGCTGTTCACTGGTGATTGCGTACTGAGAGCCTGGGTAGGTGAGCCTGCTGACCCCGGTCCTTTCTGGCTGTCTATCCCCTCCATTACTATCCTTAAGTCCAGCTAGCTGGCACTGTAGCCTTAGCTAAGCCGGCTAGTTTGTTATTCCAGCAGAACAGCATCTAAGCTTGCTATTTAACAGCTAGCCTCTGAGTGATGCGCTTGCCGAACTACGATGTAAATAACTGCTAATTAAAAAAAGGGCTTTGTAAACGTAAAATATAGGGCAGAAATTAAAACATCCTATTAATAATGAAATGTTAGCAGTCGTTCTTTAATTCGGCATATATTCGGTATGTTAACATGGACTTAATTCAATAAAATATGAACTTTAAGTCCCCAGGTGTCATCACACCATGGATGTATTGGATACAGCGTCGGAGGCACCGTTAATTCCTACGAGGCGCATGAAGCCCAAAATGGAGCGACTTTAGAGTCAGAAAGTACCCGGATCATCCGGGGCCTTTCAATTGGGAGTAACTATTTTAGGGCCACAACGACGTTACGGAAGCTGAAGTACCAACGTTTGTCCACTACGACCATTCATACAAATCTGCTTCACTTTCCGGCACTTCCTGGGGGTTTGCACCACACGCTAATATCGCTCCATTAAATTGCCTGTTTTTCTATTACGTTTGGCCTATAATGGAGCTAGCGGCTAACATCTGTCCACAGACCGGCTGGTTTTTAACGTTACTCACTTCTCCGCCGAAGAGTCCTTGGAGGCTTCATTGTGGCTGTCCCCCTTGGAGCAAAAGCTTCTCACGGCGTGCCTTCTGGTAAAGCTCTGCGGGGCTAACGCTCTCACTCTGCCCGGCAGTCTCCCATCCAGACGGCCGGTGCTGAAGCAGGCTGCAGGTGTCGCTTTAACACCGGCTCTACCTGGCAATGGACGCTTCAGCTGGGTTTGAAATAACTCCTTGAGCACTACCGTTGACCGAAAATGTAACATTTCAATCCCGTCGAGAAGAATATCTGGAGGATATAATTACTGTAACACCGAAAAAAGGACAGGAGGCGCAGTTCCTAACGATAGTGTCGGCTTTAACGGCCGAGGTTTTCCCTGTGACTCAACAATAGTAACCAACCTACCGTTCACGTAACGGGCGTTTTGATTGGAGCATTAAAACACAAAGCTGCACCTGATTGGCCAAGAGAGCTGTCAATCATCAGAAGTCTCCCTTACTGTTTCTACTGTATTTTAATTATCTCCAACAATTTGTGAACATATATACATATTTAAAACGTACTTTTATAATGTTATAACTGTATACAATACTTCTATAAAGTACAATTCTTCCTATTTATAACAGTTAAAGTAAGACATATGAACCAAAGCAATCCTATGTTAGATTAGAGAGGAAACCTTACGAGAAATACACTATGTATAGACTATTGCAGTAAAATATCCCTTAAAGTTGAATAACTATAACATTTTAGAAAATAAAGTGTGCAGTATCTTATGCACACTTTATTGTACGTTCTTGTTTAACAGTTATATATATATAAAAGTGGTTTATGGTACAGTGTGTGCCCCTTAATCAGCAACCTTATTGACTTATGATGATTTCCTCAATATCCTGCTGTCTAAATGTAAAATATTTTAGTGAAATAAGGTGATTTAAAGTCAGTATAAATCACCACTGAGTAGCACAAATAATATCATACATTTTAGTTCATTTAAATGTCTGGTCTTGGTCTGACACCATGTGAGTTATTTTGGTATTGCACATATTTGTAGTAAAATAGTTGTAGCACCATCTCCTGGTTGGATATATTTTTAGATTAGCAACTGGAAAAGATTGATGAACCAATTATAGATGACCAAAAATAGTCTCAGGCCCCTAAAATAAAAGGAAGTGATACATTAAAGCTTACCCTTTTTCTGTTAGATGCATGTAGCTTTGTTTTTTCTCAACCATGTGAAGAAAAGTGTATTATATGCTACATTGAAATATATAAATTAAACACACATTTTCCTTTAAAAGCATTTCTTAAACAGTCTACCTTTCATCAAATCACGTTACCAATACAGCTTCTAACCTGAAATCTTTCAAATGTAATAGTCCTATAAACTCTGAGTCAGATCTTAATGTTTGTTTTTTAACTTTTTTTGCAGCGTGGGTGGGTCGACATTGACACCACGTATTAAATATTGACCTACATTAGAGATTACTCACTGGAAAGTATTTTGTAAGTTTACTTTTCTGTGGTTCCCAACTTTTATCTGACTTTATCTGAATCTCTGTAAACTCCACCCACGCGGAGCTCCAAGAAGGATTCATGCTGAGAAATAATGTTTTGCTTGGAACATGAATTTGGAAAAAAATGCACTGCCGGAAACTCACATTTCTATGTATTAAGGTCAAGAATTTAAGGGGATTTCCAACTAAATGTTCTTGTAGGTTGTTGTTTTTTACAAGAGTTCACATTGTAACTATTTTTCTTTTATCCGAATTTTATAATAGTGTTAAAAGAGGCACAGATGCATTGGTTAGTGATCGTCATATGTGTTGGAGCGTGAGTGTTCCGTAGTGATGTCATTATGTTCCGGAAGTAAACAAAGGAGTCCAATGGAGGCGTTTCAGGCAGGGGGGGGGGGGGGGAGTGTGTGGGATGTTTTGCGATTATTCAGGGTTAGATTAGTTTTAGGGTTGGCTGGTAAATGTTTCTGTATAAAGATATATTTTAGATACTTTCTGCTCCGTGTCTGGGCCCCTAAAATCTCAAGAGTCCCATTACACATTTCTCCATTCTGTCTCATTGTATTTTTAAATCTTTGTGAACAGAACAAAGGAGGGAAACAAACAAGGCGATCCCTGACGAAGCTGCAGGGAGGAGAGAGGCGATAATTCAGCGTCTCCCACACCTTCTCAAAAAAAAAATCAACTTCCTGCTCCTTTTTCAGAGCGAGGGTGCAGATCCCTCCCACGCTGCTTTAGCGGCTGGCGTCCCACCGCCCACCCCCGTGGAGCCGCCCACATCCAGGCGTTACCAGGGCAACACATCATCAGTGACTTGGAGGTGGAGGAGAGGGGGGATGTGTGTATATATGTGTGTGTGTGTGAGTGAGAAGGAGGGAGGATGATGGGAAGTATGTGAAAAAAGGACCTGCGTCAGAGTGAGTCATCAGCCAGTTTCACAATGTGTCGATGTGACGCTGATGCAAATGGGCCTGCGCAGGGATTCATCTCAATGCAACAGCAGAAAAAACACAAGAAGAAGAAGAAGAACACAAACAGGAGACAGAGAAACTCCTTTAAAAAGGAAGCTGGTCCGACTTAAAGGAGAAGAAGAAGGAGCAAAGGCAAAGTTATTATGTTACATCCTCTACAGATCACAGAAAGCACCTCACAATAGAGTTCAAAAAAATAAAGTTTAATGTTTATGTGCTGTATAACAAATAAAATATATTAGTGTTTAAAAAACAGGTGCATAACTAGGTGAAGCCTAATCTATCACTTTACAATAAACAGTGAGGAGGGGATCAGTGACACGGCAGGGCTATTCTCGGAGACATCGCACGCTAACGAGGCCGATACGATTTCCCCCAGAATCCACCAGCTAGCTTAGCTTTAACATCCTCGTCATAGTGGCTGCTTGGAACAAAACAACCCCCATGAAGATGTCTCTAAACACCGCCACAAGTAATTTGTGACAGACGTACAGTTACTGAGCACATGACAAAGAGATGGATCCACATAATAGACTTATTACTCACATAAATATTGCATTGGTCTGCCAGAGTGGGACTAATCTATCTGCAGGGGGTCAGAGGAGAAGAGACGTATTTACACGGCGTGATGAACACATAGAAACACTCATTTGTTTTCCTTTAAACAGCAAAAACTCTGAAATAAGCACTGATGGCCATCACAGGTGGATAAACACTGTTAAGAGCTAAGGCTAACCAACATCATCATCATGTAAAGTGTTTTTATATACCAGACACTATTTTTTCCTCAATGGACACTTAAAGTTTTTCTTGATTTTGCTTATACATAAACACTTGTATTGACACCGAAAATCTACAACAAAGTTACGAACTGGTGGCGAGATTAGGCTAGCACTATTTGTTACTATTTACAGACCCGGGCAGCAATTGACTTGCTTTTTTTCTGCTGTTATTGCAAAAACCACATACCTGCAATCTTAATATTTGACATACAAGTTGGATTTTACGACCTAATATCGTTTTTAAAACCTGCAGGCATGTCTATTTCTGAAATAATCTGTTTGCAGATGTGTGGTTTCCCTTCTACAGCAGTGATTTTGTAAATTACAAAGTGAAATGAAGCAATTAGCTCGGCCTCCGGCATGCCATCCTACCCAGGCGGATGGCAGAGGTCCCCTGCTGTTTCTCCACAACAGCTCCTATACATCTTGCTCTTAAATTACCTTCCAGAAATATACACAGAAGAGGAGAGGGGGGGGGGGGGGGGGGGGGGGGGGTGGGGGGAAGAGGGAGGATTAAAATCCCACCTGTCCCCTGCTCCCGTTTGAAGTGAACGACAAAAAGACAAACCTGCTAAAGGGGCTGAATCTGAACTCAATCTCCCTATACAGTACTTTTAAACTTCTACAGTACAAATACAAATGAATAAGTTAGATTTGGGAGAAAGAGGCTCAGAGGACGGAGGGTGACTCAGGGAAATCATTTCAGACGCTGCTAAATCTTTGGATATTTCTTGTAACATCTGTAGAATAAATATAAATGCCTCGTAAAGTCATACAAATGAAGTGTTAATTGGGATGCTAGCTATTGCAAATCTCAACATTAAGTAACAATTTGTGCCAGTCTATCAAATGTTATCAAGATATTTCAGTCTTGCATCTCTACAGTACTATTAGCAACAAACATCTGAGGAAAAAACCCCAGATACTTGAAATATTTAGGAATACAACTGAATATTGGCAGCATCTGCAGCTTAATTTTGAAGGTACAAGTCAGTTTGAAGGCTTTACGACTTTGGCTACATGGTAGTCATATGAAGTCTTCCCAAGACGCTGAACAGAACAACATTTCTGCTTTAATCTCACCTCTGAATCTACATTTGGGGTCAGACTCAGCCCCTGTAAGAAAGCAACAAATATATAAAAAAAACACCAGGCCGAGGTATACACACAGATCACTCTTAAATTACGTGTATAATAACAGACACAACTCTCTCTTTGAACAAAACAAAATTACAAAATAAAGAAAAATAAATGCTTTTCATGAGGCAACATTGGTTGTTAAGGCTCTACTGTGGCTGTGCTTGCTTAGTATCTATTGATGGGTAATAACTGCATACTGTCAGGTGTGAGTGGGGTGGTGGGGGGGCGAGGCGGGAGGCACTATGTGGAGTCTTCCGGCTCTGACTTGATGGTTTTCTTCTCCGCGTTGCTGCACGCTCGCTGCGACGTCCCGTTTTCTGAAGATGGAGACAAAAAGGAATTACTCACATTGCATTTTCGATTTATTCATCAGTCTCAAAAGCCTGTAGGATTTACTGTTGTGTTTTCCCTGGCGTCACTCACCTGTTGCTGGTGTTTTGCTGTCGTCTGTGTTGCTGTGGTTGTGGTTGTGATGGCGCTTCAGCTCATTGGCTAGCTGCTTGCCCAATGGGAGGTCTCCTTCCTGCATGTTCTGACTGACCACGCGCAGGTTGATTGGTCGTTCGTCTGAGACAGAAACACACGAGACAAGCAGGGTTATTTCTTCTCCATCAGCTTTGTTTTACAGCACATGTGGGGACGAAGTGTGTTGTTTTTTATTTATCTTTCACTGAACATCCTCTACGTATTTTCAGCATTTTACAGGTTTTTATTGTGTTTTCATGCACACTTGTTTCCCAGATTAGAGTCTTATCCTTAGCTGTTGTTATTGGTCAACCTCTTAGAGAAGTCACGCCCATTAGCCTATCATGTACAATGTGTGATAGAAATGTGCTCCATATGGATGTCACTATGTCAAGGAAGTAAACAAAGGAGTCCAATGCAGCGTTTCAGGCAGGGGGGGGGACGACAAATATTCAAGAGATTACGGGATGACATTTAAGAAAAACAGGGGACAACGAAGGAGGTAAGGACATGCAGAGGACAAAGAAGAAGAAGAAGAATTGACAGGGAGGAAAAAAGACATGAAGAGGAGGAGGAAGGAGCGAGAAGAAGAGGGGGAGGAGAGAGAGAGACAGAGTCGGAGAGAGAGAAAGACGCCCCCCTCCAGGCAACTGGCTGGAGGTAAACAGGCGTGGGCGTGATAATTACAGGTGCATTGTGGGATTTGTGGGAACAGCGATATAATGAGCTGTCGGGAGTGTGTGAGGGAGGAGAGGGATGAAAATGAGACGAGGCCCGCAGGAGAATCACATGCTGAATAATGATGCCTCGCTTCTCCTTGTGTTTCAGATAGAGAGTGACAGTCAGCACCCATAGGTGTTGTTTTTTAATCCACACACACACATCCCGTGGCTTTACGGACATGACACACTCTTTACATCAAAATAACATGAAGTCACTTTATGATTCAGGCACCCACAGCGGGGGGGTTTCCTGATTGGAGCGGTAGGGCATACACATACAACAAACAAGGGGGACTTGATTTATCAGAAGAGTTTCTGACATTACAATTTGTTTCTGTGCGATGATTTTCCTGTCTTTAGATGCACTAAAATGTCTCGTGATTTAAAGGAGTTTTCCCTCTCGTACCTTGGTTGTCTCTGCTGGCGTCGGCGGCGGCGGCGGCTCCGTTGGTGTTGTGAGCGCCGTTGAGGTACTTTAAGGCGGCGGGGGGGATCCTCCAGTCCAGAGCCTGCAGACGCTCCTGCACCGCCGCGTCCTGCAGGATCTCCATTTGCCGCGCCAGCAGACGCTCCAGCTGCATCTGGAGGCAACACACATCATATTTAAAGTTTATGTGTCTGGTTTACTCAGTTATTTTAAACTTCTCTTATTCTATTTCAGCTTGTTAGCAAGTCAGAAACTACTGCAGAAGAAATAAAACAATACGGGCCAGGGGGGGAGAGAAACTCGCTCTGGAGGGAACACAGGGATTTTAGCCTTTGGAGACCATTTATATGCACTAAAACCTACACCTATATACAGGAAAAGAAACCCCAAAGGGCCCCTTTAACATCAACATGAGTAGCAGCAGCAGGTGCCAACAAGAGACATACAGCATGTTTCCCATATCAAGAAGTGAAGGTCACATGAACATGTTGTCTTGGTAATGAGTTCCCCTCCCACACTCTCTAATTAGGAACAAGCCACAGAAGCAGGGGCCCTGGAAAACCAATGAGGAAACAATACTGGGATCAAACTGGATCCTGCTGCCACTAACATCTGCTCACAGGGAGATCTGTCGCCATGTGTTGCTGGGAATCCTTTTCAAACGGCAGGTGACATCAAATTGTTTCATTGTTGTCAGATTTTCAGTTTTCTCAGTTGGGTTTATTTGTTCTTACCTGCAGATTTCGTCCGACGGTTTCCTCTCCTTTGGACTTGGCGCAGGCCAGCTGCTCCCTCAGCATCTCCTGCCGCATGTGGATCGCCTGCAGCGCCTCCTGGATGTCAAAGAAGTTCTCCTGAAGGCGAGGAAGAAGAAATACCTGATAATTATTCTTTTTAATAATTTAACAGGAAGAGGAGAGAAGCAGATTCTAGGTCAGATTTGAGGGTGATTGCTTCTGAAGTTTCTGTGAGTTTAAATGACGTGAGGACAAGCTTTATTTCTACATTCAAACACAAATGACACATGCTTTATTTTTTAAAGCTTGTTCTGATGTAAGTTAGTTAAAACATTTTGTGAATTCTTTGATAAAATACAGTGGTTTTCTCTTTAGATTTTCTTAGAGTTTTGGCACGCGTCCCTCTTTTGGGAGCTCGGAGTATTTTTTCTGTGAGCAGGTGTCGGCTCTTTGTCTTGTTTAGAGTCCCTGCAGAGTTCACAGCCTCCACATGTTTTAAATCAGTGCTTCGCAAAGAGAAAGAGGAGCCATTCAGAGTTTAAAGAAAAGTCTCAGAGCCAAGTGTGTCAGGAGAGGAGCGCTGTGAGGTCGCTTTGTTTCAGAAAGCTGCACAAATACACACACATATAACGTTGTGTCTTTTAGGGTTTTCCCTTTCCGGTAGTGTTATATAGGTTTTTGTAAGTAAATGTTCTGCAAAGGCTCAAATCCCTGTGTTCCCTCCAGAGGGACAGTAACACCAACCCTGCATATGTAACACACATAAAGAGTTTTATTTCATTTCATTGACCTTACCTCTGTTTTAATCCTTTTAGGGGACGGCTCGTCTCTGTCTCCACAGCGAGACCTGCACAGATAACAGGACACACTTTAGGACTTCATACTAAAGCAAGTTTATCCAAAAGCAGGAAGCTAAATATTACTCTGGTCAAATCAGCTTTTTAACATCTAACCTTGCATTATTTAAGAAGTTAAGCACAGTAACATAATGTAAGTGTTGTGTTGCTCACTTGCTGGTGCGGTATGTGTATTTGTAGGTGACCTCTCTGGAGATCTGCCGTGCGAGTCCGAAGAGTTCGTCACGGCGCGTGAGCAGAGCCATGTCCCGCATGCAGAGCTGCGCCGCCGCCTCGTTCACCGTCAGCTGTGGACGATTCAAACAGTTAAACCACGAGGATCTCTTAGGGAAAATCCATTTTTTTAATAAAGCATTGTTGTGTGTCTAACCTCATGCAGCGTCAGGTGTTTCCCGTCCCTCCTCTTGGAGTCGAAGCGCCCGTAGATGGCGCTGTATTTCCGAATCTCCTCCTCCCTGCGCGGCTCGTCGTCGCTCAACTCGAAGATGTGTCCAATCATCTTAGCCATCTTCTTGTTGTTCTTCAGCTGCTCCTTCACCTCGGCTAAGTCTGCCTTGGGGAGTCCTGGGGCCATCCTGTCCACACACTCCAGGACGGACTGCACGGCGGCGGCGTCCAGAGCCTCCAAGGCGTCCCTGGGGGAGGACGGCGACCCGAGGTCAGAGGGCGACAGGCTGTGCTCGCTGTCGTTGCTGTGGCCCGACCAGAAGCGGGCCTCGCTGCCGCCCTGCAGGGGGGACCCGGCGGACACTTTGTCCCGCGCCACGTCCAGCTTCCCGGGGTCGGAGCAGGCGGCGGCGACCGCTTTGGGCATCTTGACGCTGGCGGCGCGGTCCTGCAGAGTGGGCGAGCCCTCGGGCAGCTTGTAGACGGGGATGCTGCAGACGGGCAGCGAGCTGAGCGGCTGGTTGAAGATGGCCGGGTTGGTGACCCAGTCCCGCAGCGCCTTCTGCAGGCGGCGCACGTGCAGCGGCTTGCTGGCCATGCCCACTAGCGCCATGATCTCCAGGAACTCCTCCTCCGCCGCCTCGCACAGCTGCTGCACGTCGTCGCCTCCCTGCTGGATGAAGGCCTCGTAGTAGTAGAGCAGGTTGGCCCGCTGCAGGATGCGGTACAGCTGCAGCTCGCCCAGGGTCCTCGGCAACACGGCCGCCATACCTGAAGGGGGGGCACATTATTATTTAATCATCATCATTTTCTTTTTTTAATACACGTTATACATATGTATTGTTGGCTTAATTGTTGTACAATATGAAAAAATGGTATACAATTTTAATTTTAGATTAATTCCTTAAAATAAAAATATTATAACAGTATATACATTATTTATATGAATAGATCCCTGTGTTTGGGGGAAATAAAGCTTAGCTTAGTCTGAGAATGTATGTGTGAATTCTAAGTCCCAACGTGTTCTCCCCTCACACAGCGTGTTCTCTCACCTGATCCTGCGCCTAAATCACAGACATAGAGCCACATTTACATGATTTACATGATTTATATTTGTACTGTGCATATCTTCCTGGCAGGTGCATGATTGCAGTTTATCAGGCCTCAGCAGGTGTATGCAAATGTTACATTTGATCTTTACAGAGTGCTTTACATTTTTAGATGTAATGTGTGGGATAAAGCGCCTCTCTGCAGGTGCACGGGGTTAAAGAGGAGAAAGCTGCTTTTTACTCGGCTCATTTAGAATTCTTTCACAGCACTTTATGCCAATATTGTGCTTGAAAACACCTTTTATCTCCTGTTTTCGCTGCACATATGCAGCACCCTGTGAATAAACTTTTTCTCTGCTGCCAGATGAGTATTTATCTTCGCTGTCATTCACTCTGCCTCCACTCTGCATCCGAACAAAGCAAAGAAACACTCTGTGCCAAAGACTTGTCGCTTGCCACCTAAAATTTGAGGAGAGGCAAGAAGTGGAGGCTTGTTTTCCACTCTTCCTATGTGCATGTGAGGCTGTGCGGAGGCCGAGCTAACAGAGGAGTGGCAGTCCGAGGACCACATGCCTCTCTCCACCCCTGCAGGATGTGTAGGTGGAGGGCTGCCTCGCCCAGAATAGGCGCAGAGAGCCAGGCAGGCCTTTACTCCAGAAAATGACAACTGAGAGGACTAAAAGAAGACTTTTATTTCATCTACAACCACACATTGCTGTTGCTAATAAGGCTTTTGGCAAAAATCTTTACAAAGCGGACATGTTTTACGGATCTAAGTCTCTCATCTTTCTTTCTAAGAAATGTGTTCCCAAGATCCATAATTGAAGCTAAATGAGTATCACTTACAGTAAGAGTCTAAACAATGATTCCTTTGTTAGCGTTCACAAAACAACACCTCCCATGAGGCTTTTCTAGCCTGTTGTTCAACTTTAAATAATGTACACAGACACATTTTAGCTCTACAGCTTGAAGACACCCTATTCTGCTTGCCTGTACTGTGTTATAGGTTTACGTGCATGTAAACTATTGGCTAGCGCTCCAACACATTGTACGTGATAGGCTAAGGTGCGGGACATCTCTAAGCGGTTGAACAGAGCCGGCCAGCTAACCAATCAGAGCAGACTGGGCTCTGGTTTCAGACAGAGGGTGAAAAGAGGTGCTGCAGCACAGGCAGTATGAGAGAAATAAAGAGCTTTTTGAACATTAAAGCATGGAGACATGTCACAGTAAAGGGCTAGAGGCACATGAGTAGAATACAATTAAGTGGATCAACCTGCTGAATGAATTACTGTAATAACCTGGTTGACAAAAACCAGTGAGTGCTGTATAAGAAAATGATAAGACATAAATCACTGTGGGAAAATAATGTCATGCAAGTGGAAGGAAGTTCATTGCGCGCAGCATTGATGGGAAAACCGACTCAGGCTGAAACAATTGGAAAATGTGCATCTTATCTCATGATTTATGACTAAAAGGTCATTTATTAAAGCTTATTTAAAGGTAGGGTAGGTAAGTTTGAGAAACCGGCTCGAGATCGCTAGAATTTGAAAATACACAACCGGAGAAAATCTGCCACTTCCTTACAGAGCCCCTCCTCCAACACACACGAACGCGCACATGACCAATGAGGGCACGAGATAAGTTTGTGCACAGATGGAAGGCTGACAGGCAGGCAGGCCATCCAGTTATTTTAGCCGGGCCGGCTCAGATGATTGGTCGTGCTTTTTACAGTATTACGGCTTCCACAGATGACATTTTTTTATGGATTTTTTGTCAAAGCACTTCAGATATTCATTGCTATCGGGATGTTAAGAGCATTCCATGGAATATAACAAAAAGTGTATCTCGAGCCGGTTTCTCAAACTTACCTACCCTACCTTTAACTCAAATTAAGAGACAAAAGATGAAATTGAGGGCCAGATAACGTAAAGAATCAATAAGCAGAATCATATTTGGTCAAATGTAAGTTATATCTGTAGAAACATTAAATATAAGCAGATTTAAATGTATATCGAGAGCTTGATATTAAGAAAAAACCTACATTTCCTAAATCCAGTTATCAAAATAAATACCTATATTGCATTCACATAGAAAAGCTTTCTTCTAAAAGGAACTTTATATCTTACACATATCATGGATAGTAAAAGTATAAATACAACTTGATGTATGGTCTTGAGGAATTTAGTTCAATATTTCCTAAAAATTCAAAGAGAAAAACAATGCAACACTGCAGCAAACAGAGGTTGTCACTGCTGGTTCTCTCTGCTGGTCTTTCCATAATAAAGCGCCAATGTGTGAATTGAATGCCTATATTTAGCTGCAGTGTGAACTCCTGTGTGTGTGCGTGTGTGTGTGTGTGTGTGCGCGTAGCTGCCAAAAGCGGACGTCTGTCTGGAGAATAAAATAATCCTGCAGCTTTAAAAAGCATCGCACTGCTCAATAAATAGAGAAATGGATTATGAGAAAAGAAAATCTTTGAAAAATGCTTATTGTCAGGGTATTAGGTCAACAGCCGTCTCAAGACTGGTATCTTACTGGTGTGTGTGTGTGTGTGTGTGTGTGTGTGTGTGTGTGTGTGTGTGTGTGTGTGTGTGTGTGTGTGTGTGTGTGTGTGTGTGTGTGTGTGTGTGTGCGCATTCGTGTGTGTGATGCGAGTTATGGTAGGCAGTGAATGGCAGGCACTAATTGAAGTCCTGCTACACAAAAGCGAGTTTAGCGAGTTTGGCTTTTCACCTGGAGAACTGAGGCGTGTGCCGGCACAATGACACACACACGCACACACTTACATTATATATACACACACACACGCACACACACACACACACAGGCTGATGTGTAGTTTTCCAGGTGAAATTCTAAGCAGCAGAGGGTTATCTTAAGTGAGGAATGTGTTGATTTTTTTTATGATTCATGAGAAATTTCCCAATTTTTCTCTGGAGCAATGATATTTAGTCAGCATTAGGAACGCGGGAAATGTGTTTATACATGTGTGTCTCTTGGTCTTTAGACGCATATTTGATCATATTTCACACCATTTCTGAGTGTTAAAAATGGCTCTAGAGCGGCTAAAAATAACATCCCAGTTGACAATGACACACAAGCTGTTCAAATGACAAATCAGAAGAAATAAACTCCGGTTTATGATGACAAATATAATTGTGCTTTGTTCATGTCTTATCATATATTCATCATTTCCTATAGTACGTGTGAGATTAAAACCACATTTGGCTATTATTAACTCCTTTAATGTATTTCTATCTCTTATTTTCCAATAGAGACTTACAGCAAATGCTCAGTAATGCAGTTATATCTCGTTATAGTAGAGTTTTACAGACATCTTATGATACTTGAAAGCTTTTCCTGCACTATAATAAAGGGTTGTTTGGTGCTAATTTGCAGAATTATGACAGACATAAGGATAAAAGCATCACTATGTTCAGGTAACATGCAGGATTTAGGACTAATTGTGCCTACCTGGTGAGTGTCTGGCCCCTTTTGGTCCGCCCTGGTCCAGTTCTTCTTCTTCTTCTGCTCTTTCTCCTTCTTCTTCTTCTTCACTGTTTACCAACACAGAGCCTGGGGTGTGAATTTGTGCACAAATATATAAAAAGGAAAGCCCGCACAGAAGGGATCCCCCAGGACAGCAAAGCCAAACAAATCTAAAAAAAGGAAGAAATCAAAAATTATTTCCAAGACCAAAGAAGACGCGCGTGCTTGTCTATGCGTGCTCAAACGGAGCGACACTGCTCTCCTCTTGCTCTCTCTCTGGAAACTTTTTCTTTCTCCTGTAGAGAGAGAGGAGAAAAAAAGCGCAGAATATCAGTTAAAAAAAAAAAAAGCCTCTGACCTTCGTGCGTCTTTCGGTGCGTCTTTTTCCTCCCAGTGTGTGTTGAGTGTGTGTATGCGTGTGTGAATGTGTGTGAGTGAGTGAGTGAGTGTGTGTGAGTGAGTGTTTGAGTCCTCTCCCAGCGTCTCTCCACTCCCCTGCACTATTCACCACCGTCAACACAGACGTAGTCACACACAAACAAGCACTTCCGGCTGTCTTAACAAAATAAAAGCACTGGACCAAAAGCTATATGCATGAGTTATGCCCTTGAAAAATGTTTAATATACTAAATATACTCAAATATAAAGCATAGACCTCTATTTTGAAACCTGTAACAGATCTCTGCATTTTTTTTTTTATATTTATATATATTTATAGCAGCCATTATGCAAAATGCACCATGGATTCGTCTTTATTTTTATTTTATTAATGTGTTTTTCATTTAGTTGTATATGGCAGTCTATTTTTTATTTTATTTTACTTATTACTGTAACAGTGTTAAATGTACCTGGAGTAGAATAACTACTGTATAATGGGATTTTCCCGGGACGAATAAAGTATTTCTGATTATTGATAATTTCGGATATCTTTTGATACAGACATGTTAATAGTACTTCCGTATTTTTTGGCATTAAGGCTTTTACTTGAGCACATAATCTAAATACTTCTTCCACTACTGTTGAAAAAACCCAGATGCGTTGTTAATGCAAAGTCATATTTCACATGCTTTTATTTTGTTAGCACTTCCTGTCTGTTGCGTTCTAACTGCACGCAGTTTGACGCAGGCAGCAGAATAAAGTGGGATATTCCTCTCTCTCTCTCTCTCTCTCTCGCTCTCTCTCTCTCTCTCTCTCTCTCTCTCGCGCCCACGCTGCTCCCTGCGTGACGCAAATCCGCGCGTGGGCGGACACACGGGGCGTGGGAGGCTTTCTGCACGGAATACCAAACACAGGCAGGTTCAACACCCACAGAGAGACACAGCAGTTTGCACACTTTATGTTCTCAAACTAAATTAATGCTGCACAATTTCTCCATATTTTAATCCTCACATTTAAATATTGTCAAAACTGATAGTCTTAAGATTTTAAAATTGGTCACTCACATTCTGCCACAACCGTTTTTCTATATGATAAAGTGATTTAATGACTTTAAAATGTCTTAAAATTGATTTTTAGAATAATTTAAAAGAATTGTTTGAACTATGTTTTAATGTGAATATCTTCTCTATAAATTGATTAAATATATTTAACATGTATATATTTGTTATATGTACATTTTGTCCGGATGTCATTTTTTTGTGTAAAATGTACGCATAAGTTGTTTCATAGTCTACTTTGTAGCAATAGTTGTGGTATTAGTATATTCTAGTTTATAGAAAATACATTTCTGAAATGGAGGTATTTGAGTATAGGAGTTCATATTGACCCCGAGTACAGCAATACACTCACTTTAACTGCCAGTAAGTGGATTGCCAGAAGAAGAGTCACCTGCACATGTGTCACAAAATGAATAATAAATGTCACACTGACTGATATCTGTACGAGGTGTGTGTGCGTGTGTTTAGTCACGTGTGAGGGCACTATGGCGCCACAGAACTGCGTCAATGAAACACGCTGTATGCAAACGGTCAATCCAGATTTCACTGATGTGAGACATGCAAATGGTTTTCAACACAGGGAAGTGGGCCCCAGGAAGCCCTGTGTGTGTGTGGTGTGTGTGTGTGTGTGTGTGTGTGTGTGTGTGTGTGTGTGTGTGTGTGTGTGTGTGTGTGTGTGTGTGTGTGTGTGTGTGTGGGTGGTGTGTGTGTGTGAGTGAGTGAGTGAGTGTGTTTTAGGTTGATTTGCAGCATGGTGTTTCCCCAGAATGACTCTTCTTTTCTCCATTAAAACTCAATAAACTGACAAAAGTGCCCTTTAAGTATGCACACTACTGCAGAATTACACTACTGATACTAGGATGGGACTATAAAGAACTCATACGTATACTACCACAACTGCCTTTAACCAGCTACAACTTGTACTGACTACCATAAGAAATAGGAAAGTTTTAGTAGTAAGCTCTGTTGTGATTGGTTAACCGGAATTTTAGCCTTTGCAGACCATTTACATGCAACAAAACCTATACAACTCACTACAGGGAAGGAAAAACCCAGATAATAGGAATAATAGGGCCCCTTTAAACTAAATTGATAACTGGGGAAGGAAATACTGCGTTCTATTGCGGGAAACTTCAATATTTCCATGTAAGATGAGACCCCAAAAAAGCGAGCAGAGTTGCGAGTAAATGTCGCTCAGAGCTCAAATCAAATCTCCACACGATCACTTTGATTCCCCATCAATGAGTTATTTTGGGGAATTAGGCCAGCCGCCACCAGAGTTTCACCCTGGGGACAAAACCAGAACGGCTTCTGTCAAACAACGACACACCCACACCCCCAAAAAGCCTCGCCCTCCCATCTACACCCCCAACACAGCAGCCGAAAAATAGAATAAAACAATTTACACTCAACGCTGCAGCTCCTTTTATGTGTCTTCAAAAGCCCAAATGATGAGAAAACTAGTATTTGTACTGTCTGTCTGTGTGTGTGTGTGTGTGTGTGTGTGTGTGTGTGTGTGTGTGTGTGTGTGTGTGTGGGGGGGGGGTGGACGGGGTGGGACTGCGTGCTTTTCAGATCCTCTAATTAATTTCAGAAGGAAACTAATACAAATATCAAAGCAAAACGGCAGATTATGCATGAATAAAACATCCGGCAGGAGTATCATGCTGATACCAAAAATGTTAAATAAACATAAGAAATCACTAATAAGCCAAAATGTATTATTTTTCAGCACAATTACAATTAGTATGGAGAATAGCACATACTTATTTGAATATTTATATATAATAATATGTAAAAATGCAATTTAGCTTGCCTTTAAAGTCATATTAATTCATTTTTGGCAACTATACAAATACTACAGACATTCAGATATTTAACACTTTAAAGAAATTGTATAATAAATACTTTAATTTATTTACTGTCCTGCTAAGAATTGGACACAGTCTTGCTAGCTGTTTCCCACTGTTTCCAGTCTTTGAGCTAAACTAAGCTAAGCTAACTGGTTGCTGCTATGGAGTCATGATTGCAGATGTCACTGAAATGTACATGTATATCTTTGCTTGAAAATCCAGTTTCTACAGTACAAAGGAGCATGTCATAAGGAAGAAATAATTATAAGCTGAGATTATTTTGTATATCTGAAGTCAAGAATAGAGTTTCATGCAAATATTTATGATGTGTTTTCCAAACGCAGGTAGGCAGGTAGGATTCCAATCCACCCACCTTCAGCAGTCTTCCACGTCTGGCTTCTGCTCTGTGTGTGTGTGTGTGTGTGTGTGTGTGTGTGTGTGTGTGTGTGTGTGTGTGTGTGTGTGTGTGTGTGTGTGTGTGTGTTATTATGCAGCTATGACCTTCTAACGGCGTTCCCGTGGATCAGCTTCCGAGCAGACGGGGATCAAATCAAATTCTAAAAGAAACGGAGAGGGGAAAGAATATTAGCTCCATATCTCTCCCTTTTGACCTCCCTCCTCTCCCACTTCTCTCCTCCCTCCCTCACCTTCACACACACTCAATATCTAACAAGAAGCAAATTAAAGCGAGAGCAGGAAATAGGATGTCCACCCACACTGTGAGGTAGGTCGACACCCAGGCTGCCTGTTCCCACAAGTCCCAGTTTCCCAGTTTACCCAAGTTCACACCACAGCCCTGCTCCTTTACACTTCTCCTCTGCATGGAGACCAGATTTACATGATCGTCTGTACGGAAGACTACATTAACTGAGAGTTGATCAGAAAAAGTTGAATAAAATGGACTTTTTCTGCATTAAAAAGGACTGGTTTGTTAGAAATATGCTTTGATTTTTCATCATGTAGACTTTTTGGTTTATGACTAGGGATTATTATAATTTTAGCATGCTAACAAGCTAAACAGATCATAATTGCAGCCGTAACACATCTAGAATAATTAATTCAAGTCATATAAATGTCATATTTTGAAGGATTTCCCTCAAAATGTTGTGCAAACTTTAACCGATGAGCAAAGATATTTTGCGGCTTAAAGAAAATTGCTCTTTGGTTGTTTGAGATTATGCAGACACACAGGTCATCACGATGCAATTTTGCCGGTTACCCATAACACCTTTCTGCGATGTAGCAAAACTCCATCTTGTTTTGACTCCATCTGACCCTGATCTTAAATGTTTCCCTAAATCCCCTTCAATTTAGTCCTCAAAACATTATAACCGCCGAGAGCGAGCGGTACAAGGCTTTCACACGACAGCAGCAATCTGCTTTCATGTCGTCCTGTCAATCATTCCCACAGAGTAGGCGTCACTTTTTTTCTTCCTGCATCCCCCCCTCCCCACAGAAGCCTCCAAACAGTGGATGTATCTCATTTGGCAAGAAGCCTCTTCATATTTCACTTTTCAGGAGACGCCTGTTTGTCTAATTTCTGCAGCTCTTCTCCTTTTCTTTCTCCCTGCAACTTTTCTCTTCTTCTTCTTCTTCTTCTTCTCCCCCCTCCGGAGTAGAAACACATTTCAATGACACGCCCACGCCTGGGCCTGTCAGCCCCTCGCCCTGTCAGAGCGCCCACGCTGCTCTGCTCCCCTTCTCCCTCCCCTCCCTCCCCTCTCCTTCCCACATCCTCAACACTTTGCGCTCTAAAAAAGCAGCTCTTTTCATCCAAGTTCCCTCTTTAGGAGGAAAGAAAGAGCGGAGGGGGGGAACAACAGAGCGGCATGATTCAGTCTCCAGGCGGTGCTACTGCCTGTCATTGAGTGTCCCTTTTCATTTGGAGGGAATGCCAAAAAGCAGCAGATAAAAAAAAAAAAAATGTCCTCTTATTGTCGTCTCCACCCTGTGTTTGGGTGGCGGGCACATTTCAGACGGGCGTGGATGTGAAGAGAAATGCTGTGAAATCAACAAAATCTGGTTAGAAAGTAGTTTAAGCAGTTTTTTTTGTATGATGCCGTACGAGGCCACGAGAAAGAATGTGTGTGTGTGAATAAAGCCGGTGTGTTTGCTCAGTCTTACTTTGTGTCTGTTGAGAAAGTGTGGGATGGTATGAGCGGCTTATGTCTGACTGAACACGTGTGTGCCTGCGTGGGCGGGGAGTGTGTATAGGGGCGATGTGTGTGTGTGTGTGTGTCTCTTTGCACACTGATTAC